TGTACAAAAAAGGCAAATATCAGAAGGTATACATCCATGTCATATATTCTGTTAATGGTTATAACCTATGGGAAAGGACCGGCTACAATGATATGCAACCACTAGTTTTTAGAAAAATTCCAGGAAAGCCAAAAAAGAAAAGGAATTTGGAGCAAGGTGGAGTTGATGGCTCAAATCAAAAACTAAGGAGGATTGGACTCCTTATTAAATGCAGTAAGTGCAAAAAAAAATTGGTCATAACAAGCTTACTTGCAAGCACCCACCAACTCAGACACAACAATCTGCTACTCAGACCCAACAATCTGCTGCTCATACACAACCAACTCAGGTTCAGACACAATAATCACAAGTTCATACACAACAAACTGCTACTCAGACACAACCAACTGCTGCTTAGACACAACCAACTCAGGTTCAGACACAACACTCACATGCTCAGACACAACAATCTGCTGCTCACACCAAGGCTAAAGCAAGTGGTTCCAGGACTCCAGTCAAGAAGTTACCCATTAGGAGGCCAACTAGAGGTGTTGGTTCACCAGACCCTACAACTAGGTTAACTGCATCAAGGAATGTGGTAGGCCCTACAACTAGGCTCACTTCATCTCAAGCGAGCAAGAAGAAAAATAGATACAATATGTTGTCTTATGTCTATGTTTTGTACTATGTTTTGCTGCTACGTTTTGGTACAATGTTGTAAGCCTTATATGGCAATTTTGTTAATACTATTAGTACTATGTTTAAGTGCTATGTTTTGGTACAATGTTGTAAGCCTTAAATGGCAATTCTATTATGACTACTAGTACAATATTTTGGTACAATGTTGTAAGCCTTATATGGAAATTCTGTTAATACTATTGGTACTATGTTTAGGTCTATGTTTTGGTACAATGCTATAAGCCTTATATGGAAGTTCTGTTATGACTACTGGTACTATAATGAAAGACTTATTTTTCTTATATGTTGTTGTGTTTTGGTACCAAATTATACCAATTAGGTGATAATCAAATTATATCATTTCACAACTCTATTTCGACAGACACATCATACCATTATAAACAACATTCATGTAATAAGCTTCATTGCACATTTCCATTTCATTGATCTCACAAAACAATATTTTAGAAATACAACTCATTCATTCCATTTCATTAAACTCATAATTACATTAAGAAATTGTAGATTAATACACTAAAAGCAATAAAAAATGAATTTCTCCAAAATGTCTTCCACTTCATTGTGTTATTGACATCCCCCTCAAGTTCTTCAACTAATACTTCAGATTTAATCAATTTCTGCTGTAAGTCTTCATTCTCCTTTGCTAAGAATTCCAACCTATGTTTTAATTCTTGATGAAGATGTCCCTGTCATCTTTCACTTTAGCACAAAACCAATCAAAATAATCACATCAATTACTTGTATTCCCTTGTAACATGTTACATACAACATTACTCAATGTGTAAAATTGCAATTGCAAACTTAACAACATAGATTGTACCTTATAATGTGGACATCCCCAAAACTGCTTCCTAAAATTTTGGGCGGTTTTTGCCCTTTTGAGTACAGCAAAATCACCACACCAACAGTTAGGTCTCCATTGATTTTTTGAAGATGAAGAATCAACCCTATATTCAGAACTGTAACTAACATCTCCATCATACCCATACCCCTTTAGCGATGGACCTGAACTTTTATGCGCCATTACTCTTCACAATCAATGTTTTGCAGCGTCAACAAGATTAAAGTTGAAGAAGATGAAAGCATGAACGAAAGAAGATGAAGGCATGAACAAAATAATATGAAGTTGTGATTTTACTGAAGAAGATGAAGGGAAACGGAACCCTAATACACAGAAGAAGAAGATGAAGGGAAGCGTTCCTCACTTTGATGTTTTTAGAGAAGTAGTTGTCCTACTTGGCGCTAACATGGCAGTTGATATTGTCACGTTTAACACCGTTACTGTGTTTTGTCTCAAAAGGGTAAACATGGTACATTTAATACAGTTGAGGGATTAAAATGACCCTTTTAAAAATTAAAGGATCAAAATGAACCCTAACCCAAAAATACGGGACGAAAAAGCCTATTTTGCCGTCATCTTACTTATAAAGCGCTCAACCTCCACTTTTCTAAGCAATGTGAAACTTAAAACTCATATTTGTTTCTCAACAAAACTCACACTTGTTTCTCAATAATTGAGAAATAAGTGTGAGTTGTGTTGAGAAACAAGTGTGATTTATAAGTTCCACATTGTTTAGAAACGTGGAGGTTGAGCACTTTATAAGTGATAGGACCCATACACCTCTCCCCTTAAAGTTGTTGGTAAATATGTGATGTCTCTCTTACTTGTTTGGATGAGTTTTTGACATTTAGGTGACTGTTTGACCCAATGTGAAAGATTTCCCCTCATGATGAGCCATCAGTGGTATCAGAATCTAATTTGAGTAAGGGACCAATTCCTTGTGTTGAAAGCCTTCCTAACATGGTGGTCAGGTGTCGCATCCCGTTGAAGTGTCCATTACGAGATAAGGGTGTTTCTCAGTAGCGGTACAAGCATGTAGATGAAAGAGCTTTCGCTTGAGGGGGAACATAGAGGATGGACTCATACTTGAGGGGGAGATTGTTGAGAAACAAGTGTGAGTTGTGTGGAGAAACAAGTGTGAGTTCTAAGTTCCACGTTGCTTAGAAAAGTGGGGGTTGGGCACTTTATAAGTGAGAAGACTCATACACCTATCACCTTAATGTTTTGGGTGAATATGTGGTGTCTCTCTCACTTGTTTGGGTGAGTCTTTGACCTTTAGTTGAATCTTTGATTCAATGTGTATGTTTCTCCCCTCATGATGACCCATCAGGGGATTGAGAAACACTTTTAAAAATTTTAGATTTGTGTGATTCTTATATTGAGAGTTATAGAATTTGAAAAATACGTGGGTAGAAAATAGGAGATGTTCTTGGAAATTTGAAATGTTATTTTCTTGTAATTCATTTTTAATCTCATGTAACAACTCTTGAAATATAGTAAATTGATTAGTTGCTCTCTCCTTAGAGTTGATAGATTATATCAAATTAAATAAATAATTTATTTGAGCTTTGTCACTTTAATTTTTTTCTTCTTGCTCGTGTGGATTTGCAACACTCTTATGTATGCACATTAATGTGGCTTGAGTTTATTTATTTTGTTTGTCATTGTTCTTTATCGCATACATCAAAGGCCTTGGTCTTGTTGAACCTTTCAATTTCACAATAAGTGGCGTCCACCGTAGAAAAAAAAGGCTTATGTTTTTAAGTGAGCATCATAAGTTCTAAATGGAATATCAGGAAGTTTTTCAAATATAATCATTTGTAGAAAGTGAAGATACAAGCAATATTAACTCAACTAAGTGGAGAAACATTGAAGGAAAAACATTTATGCATGCGTGTCTAACACAAATATAGAAGACCGAGATGATGAATTATACCATAAGTGTCATTATTTTGTCCCCCAAAAAATATTCCAAATGAAATATCGAGAAGTTTTTCGAATATAATCATATGTAGAAAGTGCATATATAAGTAATATTAAATAAACTAAATGAAAATAATATATATTTTGAAATTGAAAAAAGTGAAAATAATATATATTTTTTAGTGAGATGGTGATAATATCTTTATCTCCTTTAATGCAATATATTATTTTGACAGTTCTACCAAACATCTTAAACTAACACACACAGAGAGAGATATTTCATTTAACTTTGTTTTCTGATTTCATTTATTACAATTAGTTACAACTATTTTTCTTTTATACAACGCTGAAACTAACCTGCCTTAGCAATTTGTAACTAACAGAGTGACTTGCACTAGGTTTTATCAACAGTTGAATAACTTGCAGTAGCAGGTTCTAAAATGCATAATGACCTGTAGTAACAAGTTGCTTACACTACTCAGACTAACACCTGGTGTCAGTTCTGAGTTTACAATACTTAACTACTTAATATTCATAAAGTATGGTTATAAATTTTAATGTTCATGTGGATATATGCTCGAATACAAAAAAAAAAAATTCAAATTGCAAATATGACACCGTGCCTAAACTCACCTCATTGTCATCCCGAGTTACATCTTCCTTAATCAACATAAAAATATGTATTTATACCACATCTCATCAATCATCACTCTTAACAATTTGTTTTTTTGTTTGATACATTAGAAAGGTCAAGTATTCCTTTGAATTCAAACACCCACAATCAATGTTATGGGTCCCATGTGAAGAGTCCATTCTGAAAAACTAATTAATCTGCCAACGGTATTAGTATCAACCTCATGTCAAGGAAGCTTGTTTTGACACATGAACGATAGTGCCACCCACCCAAACTTCTTAATCATCCATTCAAACAGACTATCATTGTTGAAGAGATCTTTTGGACTATATATTGGGTTTCCAAGTTGACTAGTTCATACCATTTCAACAAGAAAAGGCATCATTCCATCCTCGATTAACACAGCTGTATAACATTCGTTATAAATCATCCAAATCTACGACGACTCTTTTGAAGTTGACAACGTTTGAGAGCAATTGACTATGATGTCTTGTCCTTTATTTATTTTGCATAGTTTACATAAATTTCATTATCAAATTGAAATCTCTCTATGGGCCCGCCCCTATTGATTATCCCTCTAATCTGTTATTTGAATTCAAAACATAGCATCAACAATATAAAATTAAACAAGTAAAACCAAATTGCAGAGTACAATATACTTACTACTACTCATCATATAGATCATACAAGACAATCTTCAAATTAATTGTACAAAATTGTTCTAGAGACCAAGAGATCAAAATCAACAAAAACATACATATAAAAAAACAATTCCTAATTCCTATCCTAGAACCTGCTTTGAGGAAACCCGGACTAGGGACAGATCGAACCCACAATTCATCAAAATGGCAAGAGATTAGAAGCATAATCTAAATTGAAAATTACACAACTTTAAAAGTAAGTGTGCACAAATTCTCTTCAATACTACTCTTGAGCAATTGCAGTAGCAGCAACTTGTTGAGTTCTCCGGTTATGGACATCCCAGTTATAAACACGAGCAATAGTAACCTGATAACATATAGATAAACAGTCAATAACTAAAGCTAGTAATGGTTTCACAGACTCATGAAGGGATTGGGTGATGGTAGTAAAGGGACCCAGCTTTTGACAAACTTCATGCCATGGAAGTCGAATATCGTTAACATATATCTACATTTTATAGGAACGTGCAAAAAGCAAAAAGCTATGGACCCTTTTATAGTTTGCAATCAGACCTGAGTAATTGTCGTTTGGTCCCTTAAAAACAGTAGATCAGCTACAAGAACTTCTAAACTGGCTCTAGCATTATCCAGATTTTTCTGTAGGAGAGCAGTAGCCTGCAACAGACATATTGTACATATGTAAGGTTAAAATTTAGGAAAACAGCTATAATATCCTGAACTACCGTACAAATACCTCTTCTAATGAATATTCCAACATAACATTTGCTCCCAGCCATAAACACACAGAATCAGTTTCTTCTATAGAAGCTCGTGAATATATTCCTTCTGACACCTCAAAATCAGCAATAAGTTCCTGTATCCAAAGTCAAACATACATCTCTAGTTTATAACATAACTAACGTTTTTTCCTTGTAGTAAATAAATTTAAATAGTGGTACTGGTATCATACGGTTTATAAACAAAAATAAAAAGAAGACCCCCATATGTGGAAAAAAAATCTAAACAGTTACTGCTAGTATGGTGTTTTTCTTAGTTACTGGTATCATAGTTATAAACAAAAAAAATGGAAGATGTCATCTGTAGCAGTGACTATTGTATTAAAAAAAAGTTCGACCACTCACAAACCTTGGATCTGAATTTAACTGATATAAAAGTACTGCATGTAAGACATTGTGATATGTTACCATTCACAAAATATAATGTCGTTTGCAACACTGTTCATGATTTTCTAGGCGTGGTAGGATAGTATTTTTGTAAGGGAAAAGGGTGGGTCTTGAACATAAAAGGTTAAGCATACCCTTCTATATACTGCATTACAAATGCAACATCATTTGGAATTACCAAAATAAGATGCAAATTTGAGATAGATCACAACATTCAGAGTTCAAACACTTGAAATGCACTTAATTCTCCATTTGAAGAGAAATAAGTATGTAAAGGTACAAATTAGGCCGGGTTATGCAATAATAATCAACTAGTTATATTTCATGTCATCTCAATTTAAAGAAAAACTATTCTGGATAGCCATAAAACTTGGACAGGATCCTAGGCAATAAAGAGCCAATGAAAAAAGTTCAGTGTTATAAGGATGAGAATATGATGTAAAATAGATTAGGACTGATTGTAATTTTTAATCCATAAATTTTATGATAATCATGTTATTTAGGATCCTATACAATAAAGAGCCAATGAAAAAGTTCAGTGTTCTAAGGATGAGAATATGATGTAAAATAGATTAGGACTGACTGTAATTTTTAATCCATAAATTTTATGATAATCATGTTATTTAGGATCCTATACAATAAAGAGCCAATGAAAAAGTTCAGTATTTTATACAATATATATTTCGTTTGGTTATAAATAACCTTAAATATTTCAATATTTGATAAGATATCTAGTTTAATGTAATTCAAATTTAACTAATTCTATCTTGTCTAATCAGGATTTTATTATCATTGGGTTATAAATACTCTTAGGGTGTGTTTGGTTCGGGATAGATGGAGGGGAGAGAAGGGGAGGAGAAATTTTTAATTAAATATGTTTGGTTCAAATCTTAGGAAAGGAGGGGAGCAAAATCCTTCCAAAACACATTTTTTAGTTCCCTCCGAATTGGGGGGATTTGGAGGGGAGGGAATATGAGTTTTGATATTTAAAAATTATTATATTTACTAAAATATCCTCAGTTTAATTTCAGTATTTCAAAATTATTCGTTTTTTTTTGTGTTATTGCTTTTTCTCGATTGTTTCCATCAACTTATTATAATTATTCTCCACCTTCAAATTATTTTATAATTTCTATACTTAATATAAATCATAATCATTGTCTTTTCTTTATAAAAAAAAAATTATGTTTAGTTATATTCGCTTTTTTCTTTTAATTTTGTTATGTATTCTATCATATTTTCTTTTATATCAAATTATAAACCATTCATTTTATTTATTTTTGTTTATTCATTTTATTAAATATTTTGAACCATTAATATTTAATTATAAGTTATTTTATATATTTATTTTGTTATATGATTCATCACAATTTAAACGATGTTATTGGCATATAGTTTAATTTATGTTGAAAAGTTATAAGTCGAATCAATTGTACTCAATTTTTTAACTTTATGTGACAAATAAATACTTTTTTAATCACTAAATATTAGAAATTTTATTACCAACAAAAATATGTATGAATTTTTCACATTTTAATATCATATGACTTATATAAGATCATAAGGATAAAAATGTAATTATTAATAAAACCCCTCCCCTCCCCTTGAACCAAACACATTTTTAATTAAAATCCCTCCCTTCCCCTCTCCTCCTCTTTTTTGAACCAAACACTTATCTAATTAAAAAAATCCTTTACCTCCCCTCCCCTCCCCCTCATTTGAACCAAAGAGACCCTTAGATGTGCCTTGAGAAATGGAGGCTTCTGATGTTAGCTATAAAGCATGGACAGAGACAAGTCAACACTGCTAATATAAAAAACAAAAGACTCCAACACAGCTACATATATAAAAAACAAAAGACTCCAACACAGCTACATATGTATTTTAATTTGATATAGGTGCTGACACGTGTCATATGAGTGTCATATATGTGCCAAAACTGATCAATGGAGTGTCGAAACAAAAGAAAAAACAATTATTTATGAGACACTTGTTTGAATTTTCAAATGTCAGACACTGAGACGTGTCGGGCATTGCAACACACCTAAATCTGGCGATGTCTATGCTTCATAGGTTGCTAGAGTTGAAATAGTAATCTACAACTAAAGGAATGTTTTAGGTTTACAAGGGTAACCAAGAGAAGCACTCTTGAGATTTTTGTCCCAAATCACTTTGGTATTCAGAGCCTGAATTCAAATCTCTCTTGGCCTTTTTTGTGTCAATTCACTGTGACTGCAATCTCGTTGTAGCACTCTATTCATTGCCTTAACATTTGTGTCTGTGACAAACTTCAACCCTAAAGAGGATAGTGATATAGTATTCATGTTCAAATACTAAGGAGGATAGGGATATATCATAATCTTGTTCAAACTCTATGGAGGGGTACAATATGCTTACTTCTCCTGAGGTAAAATCTTCCATAGGGGGGGAAATGTTGCAAGTAATAGATTAAGATTGGTTATATAACTTTCAATCTCTAAATTTCATGGTGATTAAATTATTTAGGATACTTTCCTTAATTTTACAGATTTATCTTTGATAAGATACCTACCTAGTTCAACAAAATTTATACATTACCGAGATTACACTGTTTAATTGGGGTGGGAGTGGGATTTATCTACACTATTAGTTGATTAAGGATTTTATTATCTTTAGGCAAAAAATATCCAATGCAATACATCATATAAAATCAAGGTATTGTTTCATCTATATAGCCAACAGCACCTAGCAAAAACGGATTTGGTAGCTGTAGTATAAGGTTTCAAGTCACACTAACTCTGACACTTAATTCTTGTGCACTAATATGCAGACAGCCGAAGGGTTCTAAATACATGTGAAAACCTAGCAAGTAATGAACAAAGGCTTACCGTTCTGAATGAGTACCCGTGTCAATATGTAAGCCCTTAGTGCATTTAGCATAAACAAACAAAAAAGAAAAAACTCTTGTCTAGGACTTTGTGATGCAGCGCACTCAGCACAAACAAGAATTATCTTAACTCGTGTGTTTTCTATATCTATATGCTTCAATGTTTTAAGATATGAGAACACAAAAATAAAAAATAAAAACGAGTAGCTGAGATGGCGCATCAAGTGTTAAGGGTTGCAATAGACAAATTCCAGCAGACAAATAACGTTTTCATATGTTATAACCGTATAAACTTGACATAAGAGCTATACCCAGAAAGAAAATCAAATGCAGTTAAACAGATGTCACAAAACTAGATAAACGAAACAAGCAGCAGCATTGAAGTCCAACAATAAAACATGGAAACCACCAACTTCTTCATGGAAGACAAGGAAGACAAAACACAGGAAAATGCAATCACATTGTAGCTATCATGATCCAACAAGGAAAAATGGTATATATTGATAAAAGACATGACAAGCCATGAAACTAGTGCTGGTTGTATATTGTTGATAAATCAGAAGGTTTTAAGGATATATTAACAGTATTAAAATTATGGCATACATTGTAAGTGCAGCGCAACAAAATAAGATGCACAAAATTTCAAATTTATGCAGTCTGATAACAACTAATCTAAAAATTTATGCTTTATCTACACATTTTCGTAAGGTAGTTTGTCCAAAAATCATTTATCTAAAAACTATTTACTACTATAATTCGTTAAAGAATATTAGGTCTCAAACGAACCTCACCAGTGCCCTTCTTAGCCTGCAATGTAGCAACAACATCTAAGCACTTTTCAATATCCGGTATCTTTGCCTGAAAAACCACCACAAAGTGTCACAATAATGTACACTGAAAACACGCAGTTTCAAGTTGAAAACTATTGACCAAAGTAGAAATACATGCAACGTTGTTTTCTTGCTTGAAATTATAAAACTAACAGACGGTAATGAATCGATTTCAAAGATGGTCCTTATGATTTCAGTTAACATTCAAAGTATTATATAGCCTAGGCAGTTAAGCATAGCCAACATACAGAAAATGCAACAACTTGTATCTTTTCATTGTAACTAAAATGCAACTCAGTTTGGCTCTAAACTAAACTGTCTAGTCTGGTTCGAGACCGTATATATTTTCAAAACGAAAAAACTATATTGTTGAATCCATAGCACAAGCCGTGTTGTCAATGCCGATGGCGGTCCATGGCACCATTATAGCGGATTATAGCACAAAAACCCGCAATATTAATAACTCATAGGTCTACAGGTAATAAAACCTGTAATAAAATCCCATTAAGTTTCCTTAGTATAGCATCAGACTTTTCTATGATGGATGATAAAGTATAATATACAGATATAGAAGCCAATGAAACCTGAAGCTCCCTTTGCTGCGCAAGAAGCTTCATTTCAACAACCTTGTATTGCTGAAGTCTGCAAGAAACATATGCTCGGTTTTCATTCACACAAAAACTTACAAATAAAAATGAAAACCCCTTTAAAGCATAAACTAATAAAATTACAAGTATACAAGAATATGAATTTGTATTCAAAATAAATTATACAAATTTCAAGAGGATCTAGTAGTGAGAAAGAAGAAGATCAGTAAAATATGAAAATTTGGGAATGTGTGAAGTGAGAGAGTGAAAGGGGAAAAGGACCTTTCTTGAAGGAAAGCTAAGGCGGAATTAACATCGAGACCTAATTGAGCGAGATAGGTTTGAACATCTTCTACGAACTGAGCACCTGGTATTCCTCTTCGCTCTGTCATGTTCGATGATGAAGACGAAGAAGCCATTGTTGAGGCACCGCAATCGAATCGAACTGAATAACAAGACGCTGTATTTGTTGTCGTTTTGCTTTGGGCCAAAGTTCAGACCAAGTTCAACTTGGATTTCTAGACAATCACGGGCTTGCTTTTTATTATTGGGCCTCGGGTATTATAGATGGGAAATACTTAACACACGAGATTTTATTCTAACACCACCCAGTTTGACTACCGGCATCTTCATATATCTACCATACAAGAAAAAATATTTAAATCACTTTTTTACCCCTTTCCCTTTTTCCGCCACATCACCATTTTATGGTCAAATTGAGTTTTTATACATTCAAAAAATAACTATCGAACCATGTTATTTGGTTTCACATTTTTTTTCATTTTTCTTCGTCATTTTTCGCTAACTATAACTCTAAACATACTTTTAACTGAACCAATTTTTAAAACTATTCTTTTAGAGAAGATTATCTTTTTCATTTTAAAAATTTATAATAAAATAAAGATCATACAATTTTTTAATAAAATAGAAAAATTATCTTATTATTATTTTATCAACTTTTTTTAAATTTATATGTTTTTTAATTTATTTATTATAGTTATATTTTTTGTGAGATAAAATATAAATTACATAACACAAAAAATGATTTTAAGAAAAAATTATAAAATAGTGATGATATCACATGTGTTTCAATGACATTTTCTATCTATTTTTTTCGACTCTCAATCAAATATGAGTTTTTCTCATGCCTTCCCACTCATCTTCTCTCTTTTAAACTTAAAATCATTTTTAAGGGTAAAAATGTAAAAGATGGGAGGGTTTTGAAAAAATATATACTAAGGATGAAAAAATAAATTTAAGAGTTGTAAAGTAGGGAGGGGACTTCCAAGAGTTAAAAAAAAACAAAATAAACTTCTATAATTTAGAGAAATTTAAAAACTATATTAATAAATTTTTTAGGATTTGATTAAATTCAAAATATTAATAACATATATAAATCATAAATATGTATTCATTATTCTATATAAAAATATATTTTTATAAAAAAGATTAAAAATTATTTATTCATAAAATACTTTTTTTCCCTCAAGAATCCTTTTCTTCTCTCCTCTAAATTATGACATATAGCTTTAAATAAACAAAACGAAAATTGTCATATAAATTAAGAGAAAGAAGTTTGAGTAAAAAGCGTGAGTAATGACTAAAATCACGAGTATTGAATCAAAAAGACATTCAAGCACACCAAACATGTAATTCGGGAAAAAGTAGGTTACATGCATTCTATGTGAACTATTAAGAGCCTGGATCATTTTTATTTTTTACTTTTTTAATTTTTAAAAGGGTTTCAAAAAGTTTTTTTAACTGTTTAAAAAATAAAAAATAAAACATATTTGTTATTCTTATTTCTAAAAATTATTTTAGAGATGAAGAAATAAAAAAATCTTTTAATAAAGACATTTTATTAAATTAAAAAAGGAAAGATAAATAGGAAGAGGGAACATAAAATGTAATCCATCAAAAAATTAAAAAAATAATAGTTGAACATGTCGAACTTATCTTTTAAAAAAATCTTTTAAAATTTTCTTAAAAGTAAAAATAAAAAGTAAATCTCATTAAATGTCATAATTAACAAAATAATATGCATCGACTAATTTATATACACATGCATTTTCATCTTTGAAAAATGTGATATATTTTGAATCTAAAAAAAAGTGTATTGTGTGTAAAGTATTTTTCCATTTAATTAAAAGATGTCAAGAGATAACATTCAAACTATAAAATGCTCGAATGACCATCACCGAGTTAGTTTTAAGCCATATTTCTCCAATTCTTCATGTTAGCATTATGGGTGGATGATCAGTGACCAATCGATGTTACCCGACCGAACCGACACTTGTTTTGCAACACGGATCGGTTAAATTCGGGTTACGAGTATCTCTGAGCTATTTGATTGGGTATTAATGGATATGGGTATTAACCGATCTATTATAATATTATTATTCTTTAATTATTATATCATGCTTCACATTTACAATCTGAAATTTATGGTTTGAGTCTGAAAACCCTCTAACCTTCATCATGCCCCAATTGCCTTCCTCTCCGACTTTCAATCGCTCTTCACTCCTTCACCGTCCTTGTTCATCCTTGTTCGTTTCAGGTTAGGGTTAACGCAGCTCCATCACCGTCTCTCTCGCATACCACCATAGTCATCTTCCATCATCGTCATCCCCTAAAGTTTGTATTTTACTGCCTCCCTCTAGCTTCTAATAAAAATTCTCTCAAGCTTTTGATGCAATTATTTTTTATAAAAACCTTCTTGAGTGTTCTGAAAACAAAATACATGTATGCGTTTTTTGTTCCTGCCAAGAACTTGTTATCAGCTGCAGCATCAGTTATCTATCGAGTAACTGTTGAATATCATTGTCTCGTTTTGACCCTGTTGTGCGCTATCTTGGTTTTGATGGCTATTCTACCATGGAATATAAGTAGTTGATAAATTTTTATTATGCAAAAACAGTAATTGACCTGTAGCCAGCATATCATTTTTACCGAGACATAGATTAATGCTTTCCTATGCAATAAGTTTTCCGATGTTTTGGTTGTGCGTGAACTAGTAAATCTGGCATGGTAAATGTTCTTATGCTAACTCAATTCCAAATGTGCTAAACATTTGAATAGTTTTTTTTTCTTTGTTTAATGAGATGATGATGTTTAAGTGGTGATTCAAGTTTTTTATAGTAGAAATACTACATTTATGTATTACAGAACTAGGGGAAGATGGGGCGTCTTTTCATTTCTTGGTACTTTGTGCCTCTGGACAGGTGAGACACCAATGTCATTTTGTATAACATAAATTTGTGAGTGAAAACAATAAAATTGTCCTATGGGGTTGTCGGCATGACATTTCATTTATTTTTCACATATGCTTTTGTGAGAAGTAGTATAGATTTGCTATTCTGTCTTTAGCTTGTTCCTGCCAAGAACTTGTTACAAGCTTTTGATGTATGTGTTTTTTGTCCCAAATGTGTATGTGTTATTTTATGCAAATTTTTGACAGGTGAGTTGCGATGTAACTTGAAAGTTTTAAGAGTTATGTAAGAAGTTCAAGATATATGGAAAGAATTGGAGAAATGCGGGGAGCTGTGAATATGCAAAATAACTGTAAGTTTAGGAAATGTTTATACAAGAATAGGTGTGTGATTTTGTGAGCACGCATACGTTATGAGCATGTTTCTTAGTTTGTATTGAGCATGCTTCTATTTGGTTGCTTAAAGAAACAATTAGTTAAATTATAAAAAAATTGAGTGGTAGTGAGTGAGTTCAAGGAATTATGATATATGAAGCGTAAAATCTAAATATTTGTGTTGGTTGCTTATTTGTGTCTATGTTTGGTTGCTTATTTGTTTTTATTTTTGGTTTTGCTTATTTGCTCAGTTATGGAGCAAGAAACTCCAATTATAAATGAACATTCTCCAACCTCACATAATGTGCCAACAACCACAACACCTAATATACCTACAACAACACCTATTGAGCCATCCAAAAATCTTCCACCTATTCCTAAGAAAAGAAGACCTAATGCAAATGGTAATAGAAAGAGATCCGAGGTTTGGGACCACTTATACCTTATTCTTAATAGTGACCCCCTACTACTACCATCAAATGTACATTGTGACTCTAAGGAACATGGACATCAAACTTAAAAAGTCATATGAAAATATGCCCAAGTATCATTGAACCTGTCAAGTGACCCTGGTGTGTGCTATCCGCAAGTATACGGAGTACCTCAGAGTAATATAAAAGATTATCGATCCCACAGAGACCAATGCCAATCTATCAATTGCAATTGTTACAGTGTTTATCTAAAGCTAATGAAAATAGGGAGTATTTCGCGCAGAGAAAATAAAAATTAAAAATAAATTTAAATTCAGAATAAAGGCATACTGAAATGTAATTCTCATCGCTCAAATAATACTCATATTGTCTAAGTAGTAATACTTATGGGGCAATATTTTCTTCGTTGAAAAAGAGTTAATTAAAAAGGAACTGTCGCGTTAGCATCATCGGAACTGGACATGACCTTTAATTTATACCAACCGCTCACGATGCACCGGTCGCATCTTGCGTTAAAGTGAAGAAGTCATTTTTTATATAACTACCTCTAAGACTCTGTTAAAAAGTGTATTTGATTAGAAACTTTAATATCAAAGGGTTTCCGGTATATGCTCGGTCAACCGGATCCTAAAACTATAAACGCGTCCGAAAATAGTTTTAAAATCACTTCCTAATAATAGCAAACTTTCCTAATTAATTAATAAAGCGCTTTCGCTATTTTTACCAATTAAAAACTAACCAACTCTTATCTAAAGTGTCGGACGACTTTCGATCTTACCCGACGTAGTCACGATTATTACGCAAATAGAAACACGGTCTCGTTCATGTAATGGCCGATCGATTTAAGTTCAGAAAATTTGCATTAAAATCCAAAACAACCCCTAAAGTCTTTCTACAAATACAACATATGGAGTACCGTCGAAACGACGGTCCTCACATCCCAGCACAACAGATTTAGCTGGACATGACGGTGCTAAACATAATAAATAATTTGCTTGTAGAATAAATCATATAGGGAAATAAAACATGCGTGATTGGTTTTCGAATGAACGGAAGTGTCGCCCTTAGGTTCAGTTCAGAAAACGAATATTGGAAATAAAAGCAATATGTAAATCGTGCAATAAAATAAATGCGTGATTAGTTTTCAGACGAACAAAAGTGTCACGCTTGATTTCACTCTTAGAAATCGAATCTTGGAAATAAAAGACAATAATTAAATCGTGTGGAAAGATAAAGGCGCGATTGATTCCCAAAAGTATGAACAAAAGTATGTCACACTTAAGTTCACTCTTAGAGAATAAATCTTTAAAATAAAAAGCGATAAGTAAATTGTGTAGAAACTAAATGCGCGATCGGTTTCCAAAGGTAAGAACCGAAGTGTCACTCTTAGATTCTATTTTAGAAA